AACTAATCTTATAGTGCCTGAAAATGACATGTTGTGAATCAGCTGTATATAGAATTTATTTCATCACCATTCAGAGAATAGTTTTAGTTTTTAGTTTACCCTGCGGCCTCCTATGGTCCTACAGGAAAAGTGAACTATATTCTCCAGTAGCTGAAAGGAGCTGACTCTGTCTTCTTCTCCACTTTTAAGGACGGAGTTGCATCTCAACCAGCTGAATGAGAGCAGTGCGTTTGGAATCCAGCCACTCTCCAAGGTAATGGGCTCCTTTTTATTCCTTCATTTAATGACGGGGCCCAAGCAGCGCCTCCTTAACAGAAGCGGGACTTTGAATCTGGTTTGGTTTTCAGACTGAAGACAAGCAGAGGGCGCTGCAACAGTTCACCAAGCTCCAGGCTGCAATGAAGGTCCTGGGCATCTCTGTGGAGGAACAGAAAGCTCTCTGGCTTATTCTAGGGGCCATTTATCACTTAGGGGCCGCAGGAGCCACTAAAGGTAGGATCTGTACATCCCAATTCAAACTAAGCCGTTGTTAATATGATGTCGTATTACTCATTGCTGCCTAAACACGGTTGTTTATTTAGCACATTGAACTTTCACCAAACTAACTTCATTTTTGTAAAATAATCTAAAAGAATTTCTTAAAAAGAGCTATAAGGAGATATGAGTCTTAGAAGCTGTGTTAAAGGACAGGAGGACAGTGTCCTTCCCAGCCTTAACGACCATGGGACGTGTCCCTCCTAACCTTCGCTGTCGCCTTCGCCTGGTGTGCAAGAGAACAACGTTGTTCCTCCTCAGCCTGATCAGCTCATGCTTCTGAAATGTCTCGGTGGCTTCCAAGCGCTCTTCATGGCTTCTGGTGTTTTATGTGTCAGATGAATAATTGCATCCATAAACTGTTGTCTAACCTCCTCTCTTTGCTTGCATGTTTGCATGCTGTGTCCTATCAAATGCAGACGGAGATGAAGGTAATGGAATAAGTGTTATTCTCTTACAAACTTGGTTTTATTGTCAGTTTCATTTTGCTTTTATGTCCTCATGCTTTTATCATTTCATCAGGGCTTCAATCTGATAGCATATACCTTATTATTCATCCACTTCTCTGCTTTGCCTGTTTTTTTTTTTTACTAAGTGAAGCCTTCCAGTAAATCTGGGCTCTCGATATCAGCCTATTAAAAAACATTCAGACCCATCTGTGTTGATGCAGCTAACATAAAATTAGACTTTGTGTTCATTTGGCTTCTGATCAGCTGCTAAAAGCAACCAGATCACAGAATCAGTCAAACTTCTAGAGCAGATAGCTGCCGTCAAAAGGAAGGCTGGATCTGCTGCCTGCTTGTTAATGGGATCAGGCCAGCTCATTAGAAGAAGAAACCTATCTATGATGTGACATGATAGCTTGAGGTTGGTCCATTTTGGCTTGTCCAAGAAGTCAGGCTTAGAGCTTTAATGCCACGGCATGGAGGTGATGTTCCATCTAGAGACGTTCTTTCTGCACCACAGTCGATTAGCGCTGTCATACCTTGCTGATTTAAGGCTTGTTTATACTCAGAAACCAGGTCGTCTTTGTGTGTGTCACAGTTAACGCAGATATGCCCCGCCCCCTCCGCAGACACTCTGCTGCACCTCTCCAAAATTGTAGCTGACTGCAGACAGTGCCACAGAAAAGAGGCCTCTGATTGGTCAAATCTACATCCGCTCTACACTATGTGTATTTCCTGTTTGGTACCGGCTTGTTTTGTTTGTATGACCGCCATTTTGGAAAATGGCTCATGAAGATGGACCAGCTAGTAGAGCAGGTGCGGGAGAACTCTGGGAGCCTTTTTCCACCTGGATCCACGCTCTTTTTCGCCCTTGTGTCACTACGTTATCACACAAACTTGCCCCTTGAGTTTTTCCACTTCCTCACTGCCTCATGCGTATCAAGACTCACAGCTAGTTTGGATTGTCACCCTTGCGTTGTTGTGGAATAACAAAGCAAAGTCCATGCTTCAAAATTGGGCATAAATAACAAATCAAAAATATCTGCGTCATACCTGCGACACACTGCTGTGGGAGGATAACCAGCCCTTTAGCCAGCGTATTCCTGACATCGCAGAATCGTCTAAAATGCTGCCATACGCTGAACTTTCTATGTACGTTTTCAAATTTGGGTGTATACATAGAATATTCATATCGAGTCCAGAACTTATGTCCCACGACAGTAACTTATGAATAATGCACAGCAGCGTAATGAGGTGCCTGGTTTGCATAAAAAGATACATTTCATTGGGGTATTAACCTAGCTGCTATTTACCACCCATCCCCGAAAAAATAATGAATAAAAAGTAAGAAGGTTTGCAGTCACAGCAGATTCAGCATCATGTCTGCTAGGAGGTTTGTTGGTGGTGGGCGTGAACGCAGGGAGGATCCATCACTCACCTTCTGGCTCACCCTATGATGGGGATGAAGTCTGGAGGAGAACTAACGGTTTCCTCCTGTGAACCCCCTTTATACCAAAACGCTGCCAATACGCCATTATACAGTAGCTGGAAGTTAGAAACACGTTCAGCGCTCGCCTGGAACATGTCAGATACCTTGATATGCGTTGGAGAGAAGTTCTTGATAAGTTACACCGAAGTTATGCACACGTTACTCATAGGTTTTGGATAAACTGGACACCACGACTTATGAGTAATTTACACTTGACGTGTGTCAACGATCAGATACAGTAACATTCAAAATGGCCCTTCACATATTTTTTCACTCCGACTCCACAGTTTCACTGAATGAAAGGGTCTGACCTGATCTTTAGATTTTAATCTCCACAAATCATGAGAGAAAGAATATTTTTGCTCAAAGATTGATGTTTAAAAAGGAATTGTAGGGGACCAGCCAAGGGCCCGTCAAGGAAAGTGGGGAAATTTTGAATGGCTACTACTGTAACTTACCTGTAACTTATGCCCCATACTCAAAATTTCTTGACGTACTCGGCATATGTCGACGTACTTAAACAAAACGTACCCACAACTTATCCAACGTATGCCAGCATGTTTGAAAGGTTTTTCATACGCTGACTGAATCATCAAGGTGTGACGGGGCTTTACTGCCTTGCTACATGGATAAGGTATATATGATCCCATGTAGACTTTGCTAGTCAGGGATCTTTGTGTCACCTCATTTTCTATGTGTTGGTGGATCTGTGCTGAGGTCTTCACCTGCAGTCAGTCTGTAGTCCTTTGTGCACCAGAAAAGTCCCATCCATTCATGTTCCAGGACCCTATCTATGCACACATCATCCTGCTATTGTGTTCAACGCCTTTCCAACACATTATTGATGGTAGCTCTAAGTCCGACTCATCTAAATGCTGCCATCTACTGGTTGAGCTAAGCTAACAGAGATAAACAGGGAAGAGAAAACATTAAAAGAAAAGTCAAACAGCCAATCCAGAAGATATTAGTTTGGTTCAGTAACCTTCCCTTCTTGTATTTTATTTCCACGCTCTTTGCTGTGATATGTTCTGGTCACTAGATAGTTCTCTGTTTTTGCAGTTTGTCATGTTCTGACTCTACTCCTGTTCTTCCAGCTGGACGCAGGCAATTCGCTCGCCATGAATGGGCCCAGAAGGCGTCCTATCTACTGGGCTGCAACCTGGATGAACTGTCCTCACTGATCTTCAAGAACCAGGCCAGAGGAATGCAGCCTTTGTTCAGGGGGGGTACAGATGATGCTGGCCAAGGTGATGGCTTAGGTAAAAAAAAAAATAAAAAAAACTGCCATAAAGTCTGGAGTTATCTTTGATGCTGATTTTCTGTGAGACATTATAGAAATTATTTGCAGTTTGTTTGCTCAGGCTGCTGGTTCCCTGTCTCCTTCAGCTTTAGTTGGAGAAGTCTTAACTGACTAATCCAGAAAACTGACGATTCAAATAAAAAAAAAAAAGACTTAACATTTTACCATCAGGTTTATTAAGAAGATACACAGATGATACAGATTATAGCTTCCTGGGGCCTTTTTCAGAGTGTGGGATACATGTACGGCTGAAACAATTAATCGGATTAATCTATTATTTTTCGTCAAACTAATTTAGTAATCGATTTATCTTTAACTGGATTACATAGACAAAAAAAATGTAGCTGACAGAGCAACCCACTTAGCCCGGGCATACACTTTACATTTTTTTTGCCTTTTTCGGACCGACTCTCCAGTCATACGATAATTTTTTGATCGAGTCGACTTTCAGCCTGATTGTTGGTCGTGTAGATTACAGGCGGTAACGAGGGGCGATCAGCCTCTCACAGCCACCTCCCAATCAGTAATTGTGAGGTTGCGAGAAAACCAAACATGTTTTAAATTCAGTCGGCCGTCGTAAGGTGGTCGTGGACAAATCGCTCAGTGGGCAAACAAGGATTCTTCTTCTACGTTTAGAGCTAAAGCACCAGAGGCAGCCGGAGCAGCTAGTTTACATGCAAAGTCAATGGCACAGCAAACGCAGCTGCTGCTGGAGTTGGAAAAATTTAACTTGCTGCTCGACGCGCCACATAAACTCATCGGAAAAGCTTATCTGAGAGCTGGCAGGGAGAGAGACACATCGCTGATAATGCAGAGCGCTATGATCACTCCTCTGAAACTGTTTATTAACGCCTAAATTAACTTAAAATATAGAAATCTGCCGGCAAAACGTGTTCACTTTTATTATCCTGGTGCCTGCAGTTTGGATTACGTACATGAAAAAAGCCTTTCAGCCTCTGCGGCAAACCGTGAAGAGGCGACCAGGCCAGAGGCTGCTGTTGATGGGGTTCCTAGTCACAGGGTACCGACGGTATGTGGGGGTCTGAGCAACTCTGACAGCGAACTAACATTTGAAGACAGGGTGGTAATCTGGATATACTGACTGCACAGACGAAGTTTTCAGATCATCTTTCTCACTTAAAAACATATTAAAACTATTTTTTACCCACTGATCACAGTAAATACAGCTGCCATTGTTACAGACAAATAAAGGATAGGGTAGCTCCGCCCAACTACGCAGCTGTTGGGCGTCAAAACTAAACTTGTGCAAGGATCAAAAATGAAGCAGCACATGCGTTTTTGCTGCTCTTGCTGCTCTTGCTGCTTTTGGTCTGACTGTAGCATTGTTCTTCTTCCTCTCAGATGAAAACACAGAAGCATGGCGGGGGTGCAATGAGTGAAATGAAGTTCTTTCTATTAAATTGACAGACTGTAGTAGCCACCTTTGCTCAGCCATGTCTTTGTCCAAATACGTCGTCGCCTTTTCTTTTTAGGGCTTTCAGCACAAAATTGCAGAAATTGCCACGGCAGCGCGTTTCACTCTAGTGAGCTTCATATTCCTCTTTTAATCCTTTGGCTTCCAGATAAATGAGTCTGAGTAGCGCCATCTCACTGCGGAGCTGAGTCCCATGTGGTTTTTAGATGTACAGTGTGAGCAGGTAGATCGCATCAGAGTGTCGACCTGCACAGTGTGAGAACAAACCTTGTGAGCTGGGAACTTTTAAACCCTGCGGTTTTGTTGTACAGTGTGAGCTAAAGCTGCGTGCAACGATTGCAAAATTGTAAAGTATATGCCCAGCTTTAGAGCAGCAATTGTACCAAATTTATTTTGCATTTAAGATGAAAAAAATGTCTGTAAATATGGTTTATCAAGTGGAAAAGTTTTAGTTTTAATTAGGTTTTAGGTTTACTTTCGTAAAAATCTTCTTTAAGGAACCTTTGGCTCTCCGATTATTAATGGATTGTTCAAAAAAATAATCAACAGATTAATCGATTTGCAAAACTGGTTAGTTTCAGCCCTAGATAAGTCAGAACTTGGATAAACTTTGTTTTCATGCTGAAGGAAACCTGCATGAATTTAGTGTTAAACGTTTAACATACAGCTGGGATGGCCATCAGATCGACCATAATTCCTGCACAGTGTCATCCTTTTCTTCTGTAGAGAGGAGAGAGAACACGATGGTTAGGATCCAAACCGAGGTTTTGTTTTTCTGCATTTTTAAAACTGCATTTTGTTTTTCTCTCCAACCATTTAAAAGATTAGGTTTTGTTCAATTATATTTTATAAGTGAGCTTTGCAGACAGGAAAAGATGAAAAAATGGAGCATCAGAATTCATCTTAGAGAAGTTAATCTAAATTGATTAAATTAAAGTAGTTAAATTACAGATCACAGTACGACTCTTAACTCTAGTCACAGGAGCAAGCCTCTTTTTTTTTTTGTTGGTCAATTTCATGGGTCATGTCCAGGAGTTGGTCGGCCTTCAATCCTGACCAAGCATCTGACAAACATCCTGGTCGATTAGTGCCCTATACCCACAGGAAGGTGACATTTTAAATCCCTTCCAAGAGAAGGAAGCTGACCACTATGATGGCCACTAGGACTGGCCTGCTCCCTAAAGGTATAGTGGAGAATTTTTGCTAATTTTTTGAAAAGACCCGCCCTATCCACTTTAAAAAAAAAAAAAAAAATTTAATGCACATGCAGAACCCTGTACCCGCTCCTGAGAGGTATTTTCAGCCTATTAAATGCGTGCAAGAGCATGCGGAAGCCCATTTCTCCTTGTGCACACTCTGTTTAAAAGTTGCAGTTTGCACCGCTCATACAAGCTTGCGTACCTTAGGAAGATTTGTCTTTTTTCCACTATGTCAGACTTGCCACCGGTAAGTGGAAATCGGGACAAGCTTACGTATTACACATCACCAGAGCGATTGACAATTAGGAGGACCAGTTATTTAGAGCTTGAAAAAGATCATCCTTCACTATACCTTTAACAGGCCAACTGTAACACAACTAACAATGACTTCAGACACACCTTCAGCTTTACATCTTTATTTCAGATGCTCTTGAGTTTTTTGGGATTTTACACATTTGGTTCCTCTATAGATTTTGGGAACCACCTTGATTGATCTTTCCCTTCCCCTTGTTTGGTAGTTTTCACCCTCTTCTTTTGTCTTGTTCTTCGGTACACCTGTTAATATTTTAGATATGAAAGATATTTTCAGCCAGTTAATGGGTATACCTTAAGAGCAGGATTGTTTAGTGTGTTTCTCAAATGCAGGTCTAGCTGTAGAGATCAGTACTATTTCTTCATCATTAATATCACTTTGAGTCTACTTAATAAACATCTAGTAAATACTGTAGAGTGTAGCCATGTTTTTCATTTTAGCCCTGTGACATTCTGAATCAGTGGAGCCTCACTCCATGCAGTTAGAGCGTCATGGAGAAGTAAATGTCCAATAGTGCTAAACTCATGGTGGCCATGACCAGAACTGAGGCCTCTGAACGTGACTCAAACGAAGAGCAAGAACTTGACCTTCTGGTTCAGTCCATAAATTCACAATCACTTCCCTTGGGATGAAAATGGACAGTTAGGCTAAGCTTAGTTTACTCAGGTCTTTGGAGATGGATCGTTTTCTGTCGTAGCTTTTAGGCTTTAAATTCATTACAGGGGCGGTGAATCGTCTTTGTCTTTTTAAATGACCGACTTTAAACCACCTTCATGTGTTTTAATGCTTATGTATACGTGAAAGCAGGTGTGTATTTTCTTCCCCACTAAGTTATTGTCGTTAACTCAGGTTTGTCTCATAGGATCTAAATTCACGGCTCTGGAGTGTTTGGAGTCGATGGCATCAGGACTTTACTCCGAGGTCTTCACTGTGCTCATCTCTCTCATTAACAGGTAACTTCATCTAAAGTCCAACAGACCCTGATGCAACAGATACTTGGCTTTTTTCTGTAGATGTATTTTTTGGTTGAATTTAATAAATGGTATAAATTTCAGTGGCGGCTGGTGGAGGTTTCTTCTTTCCAACAACAAAAAAAATATAAAAACACTTTATAAAAACTAAACCGTTTTTTTAGAAAAAGAAATAATTAAATTATATTTCTCAAATCAGGAAAAACCTGCAGAAAATAGTTGGAATATATTTAGTTTTTGATTTCTGAAGAAATGTGCAGCTTCTCTTCTCTTAATGTTCCTTCTATTGACGACCAAATCTTTGTTCCCAGGGCTCTGAAATCCAGCCAGCATTCTCTCTGCTCCATCCTGATTGTGGACACGCCAGGTTTCCAGAACCCTCGCCTGGCTCAGCAGCAAAGAGGAGCCACATTTGAGGAGCTTTGCCATAACTACACACAGGAGAGGCTGCAGACCCTGTTTCACGAACGCACCTTTGTCCAGGAGCTCGATCGATATAAGGAGGTGCATCTCTGCAGAAAGCTTTGCACACATGTTCTTACATAAACAATGATCTGATCTGGCCAGCAGGCCCGCATACAGAGCAGCAGTTGTTGCGTGAATGATTGGATAAACCGGAAGCTTGATCACCTAAAACAATCAGCACAGAGTGTAAATGGGAATGATTTAGGAATTAAGTTACTGCAGCATCTTTCCATTAAAGTCAGAACAGTAGATAAAGGTCACCAAAAAGAAGATTGCTGGCATTTCACAGTATTACCAGAACACGGTTAAGGTAGTGATGCTGGTTGCCTCCTGATGTGGATCTCTACATGCATCAATGATTCATTGACCGGTCTGCAGGATCTACAGCCTGGTTATTGTTTATTTCAACCAGCTAGCAGTTTGCAGCCAAGGCAGAATTGGACTTTTTAACAACAGAATACTCTCCTTGTACACCAGAGGCAGATGGCCAGTATAACAAAGTACAAATGCTTTGTTACCTTACTTAAGTAGAAATTTGGATTATCTATACTTTACTGGAGTAATTATTTTCCCAACTTTTTGCTGGTACTCCTTACATATTTTTGCAATTATCTCTACTTTCTACTCCTTAGATTTTAAAAATTGGCTCATTAGTTTTGTTTCATTTAAGCTCGTTTTCGTTATGGGCTGTAGGTATTTAAAAAATAAAAACCATCAAAGGGGTTTGTTTCATCCAGCCAGACATTTTCAGTCATGTTTATCCCTGCTGGGGTCGCGAGGGGTGCTGGTGCCTATCTCCAGCTGTCTACGGGCGAGAGGCGGGGTCCACCCTGGACAGGTCACCCGTCCATCACAGGGCAATAGAGATAAACTGGACAAACAAACATTCACACACAAACTCACACCTAAGGATTATTTATAGAAGCCAATTTACTTAACAGTCATGTTTTCGGTCTTTGGGAGGAAGCCGGAGTACCCGGAGAGAACCCACGCATGCTCAGGGAGAACATGCAAACCCCATGCAGAAAGACTCCAGGCCGGAAATAGAACCCGGAACCTTCTTGCTGCAAGGCAGCAGTGCTACCCACTGCTCCACTGAGCAGCTCATGATTTGTTTAATCTAAGAACATTTCTTTGTGTTTAGACTCGTTGCTGCCACAAACCTAAAATTAATAGTTTGTTAAATTTGACCCTGTGACACTGATTATTTATAAAACTAAGAAGATTAAGTATAAGGAGTTTATCATACACGATTGTAGTAAAATGTTCCTTTCATAGGGTAGTGCAGTAACAAGTATAAGGTTTAAAGCATCTGTCCTTAACATATTTTATAAAAACCACCAAAGCCTCTAAGACTTGTGTTTTATTATTATAGCACATTAGTTAGTTTTTATATAATTTTGGTCACTATCAAGAGCCTCCTGAGCCACAGGTTGCAGACCCCTGATGCAACCCTGATGAAAGGGGCAATTACTTCTAAATAACAGCAAATGTAGTTAATTAGACTGCTACATTAGTCTGGAACACTCGCATAATTTGTTCGTATCTGAGAGAAGATTAGAAATAGTAGAATAGTAGAAACAATGTAAGAATAAATTTGTTTGTATGAACGTTCTTGCTTGAGGTCCATTGATTGGCTTATGAACCTTTTGATTTCTGTTACAGCTCCTTATGTATAGTTACTGCACAGCAGTGTAAACAAACATAACTGTGGTTTCAGACCCGAAAAGTTGATCCATTGTCAGACATTTAATTTCTCTTCATATAAAACGTTGATAGCAATAATAATGCCTCCAATCCCCAGCTCAGCACCTGTGCAGGAGTTTCCTCTGCCTCCAAATGTGCGTCCTCTGTACCCATGGCTCACAGATGCCCTGAAGTAGTGCACATTTTTATGCCATTTTAGTTTTTATGAATCCCAGCAGAGGTGTAGAAAGTGGGGAATACAAGACTAATGACTGGAACCCCAGCTCATCCTTTTGGAAATGAAAAGAAAATGATACAGATTTACCTGATTTGCGTGGTGCCTAACATTTCTTCATTGGTTACTTTCTTTTTTCTTTCTTTCGTTTTCTCTCTCTTTGTCTCTCTGTCTCTCTCTATTAATGACCCACAGCCTGTTTGAAGTCTGACTCTGATCCCATATATCTCTGTGTTATTTTGTACTGTTTGTTGGGCTGCTCTCCATGCTTCCTGGGTATAAATGTGATGTAGCTCACTAACATCAGTCGCTGTCCTCCCTGCTTCTAGGAAAACATAGAGCTTGTCTTAGATGACGTAGAGTCCAGTCCCTCCCTGTCCATAGCAGCCATTGATCAAGCTCCATCTCAGGCTCTGGTAAGTACATCTCACTGCTCTGTGTTGCTCTTACATGTGGTCTAATGCTGTTGAAGATTCTCAGTCATCCAGGTCATAGGCATTCCAAAAAAGTAAAAAAAACTATCAACTGGACTTGTACCTCATTTCCACTACCCTTGAAAAACCGATCCATGCCGAGACCGGTCCAAGCTCGGATCAGTTAACCAGGCCGAGCTCGGTTCTGACGATTGTTTACACATCACGCTATCTCGGTTCCTCGCCTCCTAGTGACAATCTGCGGTATTATGGCCAGTATTGAAGGAGGAAATCAAGCAGTTGGTGGCGGTAATGCACCAAAAGTGGTTTGCCAACCGCCCTAAAAGAAGAAAGAAGAAGATGAAGAAGGAGGGAATCAAGTAAATCAAAATGGCGGCGCCCGTCACATTCAGAAAGTTATGCTTGATTATTATTGCTTTACTTCGGTGTTATTATTTAAAATGCCATTATTTAAAATGTTGCGCGGAAGAGATTTCGATTGTTGTTTATAGTTAAAGAAGAAGTTGTTCTTCTTCTTCTGTTTCTGGAGGGGCATTACCGCCAACTACTGGAATGGAGTGTGAATCGGGATGTGCAGCCAGACAGAGATGACGCGTTCTGCTCATGCGCTCTTGTTATCAGAGAACCGAGCCAGGGAAAAACCAAGCCGAGTCCACCTCTGGAACTGGTCTGCAGTTAGCTCGGTTCGGTCGTGTCTAGCTCGGTTCAGTTCAGTTTGCTTTCCATTTACACACGATAAGTTATCTCAGTTACTGAGCTCAGACCGGTCTCGGCACGGTTTTTCAACGGTAGTGTAAATGGGGTATAGGTTTCCAAGTTTGAAGAGGTTTCTCATTCCATCCAGGAAGCTTTTTCAAATCAAAATGTCTGAATTACCATCGAATTCGAAGCTTTATACAGTAGCTAGAAAACTTGTTTTGGCGTATAAAACATGCATATTGAATGGGTCTCCCTGTTGGAATGGGGAGTTGTCTTGGATTCTCATTGAGTGGTGTATTCGGTTCAGTGCAGCGAGGAATGCTCTGATCTTTATATTGGGAAACCAAACAACCTCTCCACAGACGCATAGCCCAACACAGGAGAGCGATCTCCATGGGACAAGACTCTCCCGTCCACCTGCACCTTAAGGACAAGGGACACTCATTTGAGAACCAGAATGTTCACATTTTGGACAAAGAAGACGGGTGGTTTGAAAGGGGCGTGAAGGAAGCCATTTATGTAAAAAAAAATAAAAAAACAACCTTAATCAGATGGGGGGACTCAGGTTTCAGCTTTCCAAAACCTACAATTCAGTGATAGAGTTGATTCCTTCCCAGTATCATTTCCACCTTCCAACCCCATGCAAGGGACAACACATCTCGACTGCGCAGCCAAGCCAACAATTGCCCCTAACGACCCGCCTTTCAGAGGCCTAGATCAGTATCAGGTATTGCAGGCTTACAAAGAACCCAAAACGACTCCCAATTCCTAAGAGGCGGACCCATTCTTCTTGTTTAATTTCCATGTTTTCTAAGCCAAAAAAAGTTTTTGGGCTACTATATAAAGATACAAACTCAATGCTATTTCTGACATTTTGAATTTAAAAAGCTTTAAAAAAAAAAAGTCCAGTGGATGTTTTTTTTAGCTTATTTAGACTTACATGTGGTCATCACGGGAGTTTGTGGGTTGTCATATCCTTACATTAGGAGGCTTTTCTTCCAAACTGATTCCTAAACGGTTTTGTTCGTCGGCATCCCAGACCCAAGGTGGACCAGTGTCCCTATGGGTGTCTCCTCCCCTGTTGGCTCACATGTCGCCTGACTCTGTCTAGAACCTGTTATCGTTCTAAATGCAAAGATTTGTCAGCATTAGTTCAGTCTTAGTTGAGTTTTCCCACTTGGTGCACTCACTGCAGGTCCGTACTCTTGCACGGATGGAAGAGGCTCGAGGTCTTTTGTGGCTGATGGAGGAGGAGGGGGTTAAGCCTGGAGGTTCAGAGGAACTGATGTTGGAGAGACTCTTCAGCTACTACAGTGCTGGTCTGGGAGAAAACAAAGGTGATCAATGATCTTTCACCTCCTCAAGGGTCCTTGAGATAAAGGAAATTGACCATACTGATCTTTCTCCCTCTTACTGCAGGAGCCAATCTGTTGCTGCGAGGGGAGAAGTCCCACCTTTTCCTTCTGGGCCACAGCCATGGAACGGACTGGGTGGAGTACAACATCCAGGGCTGGCTGGGCCATGCAAAGAACAACCCTGCAGCCCAGAGCGCTGCCACTCTGCTGCAGGACTCTCAGAAGTAAGGAATGCTCATCGGGGATCCCAGCATAGTCACCAGAATAACAGTAATGCTGCTGAGCAGCATTACAGAACAGACATTGCAAATTATTGAAGAAGTAAAAGCACTTTGAATTTATTTTACAATCCGGTAATGGCCTAATTTAAATGTAATATGCCAGCTTATAAAAATGTTAACTGTCAAACAAAGCTGAAAGATTGAACTTCATCGCCTTATTGTTTAATCTGCTCTCTTGAGCTGGCCTCTTCATATTTCAGTGCGTGGTGAGGTAGTTTATAAACCACAACAAGATAATTCAAATGGAGATTATTGTTAAAAAAGGTATTGTAAGCTTTGTGTTTTACCTTTAGTCTCCTCACTTCTATGTCTTAGTGATGCCAACTTATTAGCACATGACAGCCATCTCTTCATCATTCTAGGAAGAACATAAGTGGTCTGTTCCTTGGCCGGTCCAGTGGCGCCACTGTGTTGTCAGGCTCCATTGCTGGTCTGGAGGGAAGCTCCCAGCTTGCCCTGCGTCGAGCCACAAGCATGAGGAAGACGTTCACCACAGGTGTTGCTGCTGTCAAGAAAAAGAGTCACTGCATCCAGGTCAAACTCCAAGTGGTGAGTGACTGACTTAGCTAGCAGTTACTGGACAGAAACACATCACTGTAGCAAGCATCCACGCTACGGAAAACACTTAGCCACACCTGCTAGTTACTTGCTGAGGCCTTCTAAAAGCTTAAAAGCAAACAATATGAAAGTGCAAAAAAGTAAAACTGTAGTGGCTTCATGTAGGAGATAAACCCATTTAAATGAAATAGTTATATCTAGGAGAGGGACATCAGTAACCACTTAAAGAGAGGACCAAGAGAATCATCTATAGAAGAACACTGAGTCACGAGCTGAGCTGATGTCTCCCTCAAGGACATTGTCACATATTAAAAAAAAAATTAAAAAAAATTAGGCTGTAGCAACTATGAAAGCAAAACGGAGAGAACACTTGGTTAAAATTTAAAAAGTAAAGAATAAAAATAACAAAATTGAGTAAGAGTAAGGTAAAGCAGGGTGAGGAGTCCTCCAGCAGCCTTAGGCTATAGCAGCATAACTAGAGATAGATTAGGATAACCTCAGCCTCTATATATACACGATTTATCAAAGAAGGAGTTGTAATACAGACATTTTCTGTAGAAAAGCTCCAATTTAAATTCTTTTTCATAATTACTTATTGCCTCTTTAAGCCCAGTCATAACAGTAGACAGTGTGTTTTCTAAAATTACTAAAACTAGAAGTTGGATCTGGGGGGTGGTTAGAGCGGTGTGCTGGTGCTCTGCGAAGGTTGCCGGTTCCATCCGGACAGCCTGAGAAAAACCCTTAACCCCACACTGCTCCCCGGGCGCCACACAACGGCAGCCCACTGCTACCCAAGGGGATGGGTTCAATCCAGAGTCAATTTCCCCATTATGGGACAATAAAGGGATTTACATTTACATAATCTTAAAAGTATACTTCTGGCATTTTGTTAAAACAGTATTCCTTAACACCTCAGTTACAGCAGATATTACTCCATTCAGATCAACAATTTTGGTGGCGGTGTCGGCTGATGAACATCAGTCACAAAAATACCTATTTACTGGGGCCGAGTTCTTCAGTTATTGGACAATAGTGTAAGTCACAAGGTTACCCAAGGACACGTGCACTTTTTACCTGGACTGGTTAAAGAGTGAGGAGATAAAAGGTTAGGACATCTTTCCTCTTGAACTCCTAAAAAGGCCCTAGTCAAGAAATGGTTAAAAAGGGGCTCCATGTCTGACACAGTGGGGGAAAATTGTAGTGGACCATCTGATAGCCAACTGCTACCCCTGATATTTCAAAGGCTAATGCTGGATGACTGACTCCCATTCTATGTCAAGATCTTGCAGTAGTTTAGGTATGAATAAAACATTTGTAATCTTGAGCAAAGGAAGACCTGGAATAAATGTTGGTAAGCTCCAACCTGTGACAGAACCACTGAACCACGGTACCTGCAGCTCCTTTCACACCAGTAATCAACCACCAGTACACATCGTGACGTCGGCTTAGTCCACAATCTTCAAGCCAACTCTTAACATCCATCTTTGTGTTTTCAGGATGCTTTGATTGACATGGTGCGTCGTTCCAAGGTTCACTTTGTTCATTGCCTGCTGCCTAAAGCAGAGGCGGTGGGGGGAAGTGAACCCCGTGTGCCGCATGGAGAGAGCTCTGATTCCGGTCTGATGACTTTAGATGTGGGCCTCCTGAGAGCTCAGCTCCGAGGATCTAAGCTGTTAGAGGCTCTACGCATCTATAGGCAAGGTAAGCAAGGGGTTCACTTCATTTGCTTCCACAGAGCTCAAAATAAAGATCACGGAGAAAGAAAAGAAAGAGTTTGGATCTTATCATTTAAAGCCTATCATGTTCTGCTGGGCATGCATGTAGCGACCGTGGAGAGAAAACTCCCCTTTAAAAAGAAGGAACCTGCAGCAAAAGCAGATGGTAAACCATCTTAATAGAACCAGTCCTCCTACATGTTGTAAAACAGATGAATGTGTCTCCATGAACTTAACAGCCTGCAAGCTGTTGGACTCTGCAGTCTTCATCTTTCATCTGATGGTTGACCTCAGCTGAAACTTTTGTAGGACAGCCCTAATTTGGACCTGCCGTTAGTATAAAGTCCTGCTGAGCCCCTGACTAAAAAAACACCAAAAACAAAAATATAATGCGACGTAGGTCCATAGTGGAAAAAAACAACATCTACAGACATGACTGAAGAACCAACGAAAAAGAAATGTAAGTGACAGAGGCTACGTTCACACAGCACCCTCAAGTGACCCAAATTCAATTTTTTGTTGTCCATATGTGACCTGTATCTGATCTTTTCACGGCAGTCTGAACAACATAGATCCAATTTTCTTCCAATGCGATCTGGGCCACTTGGCTATGTGGTCCTGAATCCGATACGAATCAGATTTTTTTTTTTAAATGCAACCTGTATCTGAACGGCTAGGTCACATTCATCCGACCTGAACGCCATTAATACTGAAGAAAGGTCACTATTCTGCATCTTCTACACAGAAGCGGGAAGAAAACCAACAACCATTGTGGAGGATAATGGAGAGAGCAGTATTTATGTTTAACCATCTTGGAAAGATTGAGTTTTTAAGGTTGGGAACAGTCAGGTCTAAGCACCTAAAACATCATACATACATACAGGGAAAGAAAGAAGGCACAGAGACATTAAATTTAGTTTTACTCGCGAGGAGAGTTGGAAGAGACTGCAGAGTTTACAAATCTCCAACCCACTCTGCGGCCCCAGCGTTCTCCTCGCTATTTATTGAAATCAGTGGTCCCTGGTTACAACAGCTGAGACTACACTGGGGTTGAAACAAGATAAGGAATTCAGACTTGCAGTCTCAGTAAACATATCTTCTAAATCTCAGGGTTAAGTCAAAGTTTAAGCTGTTGAAGCTTTTCACCAAAGTTCAGCAGGTTGAGTGCTGCTCGTAGATCAACCACAACCTCCCAAAAGCAAATCTACAAATTACAGTATACTTCAGAAAAGATGGCTATGAACACATGCACATAGCACACAGCTTTATGCATTATAACACTACACAGATACATTTATATACAATTATTCTAACAGGAATGATCGCTAGGTGCGCTCCAGCAAAACCATCCGTGTTTTATATCCGTAAACACAGAGCACGCTTGCTTGTGATGTCATTGCTTCCTCTACTGCGCATGCGGGACGCTTGTGTTGTATGAATGCAGTTTGCACAGGAGATCACATACAAGTCGCATATATCTGGAAATGTTAACGACAAGAAATTGGATTTCACAAAAAATCGGAATCGAGGTGCGGGTTTGTTAACAAAACAGGAGGCTGCTTCTTCTACTACTAAAGCATTCTGGAAAACAAGACAGTTCTGCACAACAAATGATTTAATATGATTGAACGCTTAGTACATGTATTAAAACATCATGATAGGATCATGTTATTTCTGTCCATGTAAGCACAGACTTTGAACGTCCGGTCAACCAAGATCTAGATCAGATTGAGGAAATTTTGCGCATGTAAACAGAGCTACTGTGTGATACCACTAGCAGCAAACAGTTTTGCATGTTAAACATGGTTATTGGTTGCCTTTTAAATTCGGGTTACATCCCAGAGTCCCAGAAGGGATGATTGAAATTAAAGGCGGTTTTTGAAAGCAATGAATGTCATTTTTGACATTTCTATTTTCAACAAAAGAGAAAAATTTCAATTAACTGGATTTGATAGGAAATGTTCAGAGATCAGATTTTTAAGCTGTATGTGTCTTAATGTTAAACACTGACTGAGAATAAGATCACAGCACGGCCAATAACCGCTTTGCCATGTTTCCATGGTTACTTCTACGCGTTAGCGTGGTAAAGTGACCTTTCAGTAAAGCTTTTCTGTGTTTTGAAACTGCTGCAATAAAGCAGGTTTACCATGAAAATGAAAGGTTGCTCCAACGAAGGCTGATGTGTTTCCCTCCAGGCTACCCAGAGCATATGGTGTTCTCAGAGTTCCGCAGACGCTTTGATGTCCTCGCACCCCAACCAACCAAAAAACACGGCCGCAACCACATCGTCCCAGACGAGAAAAGAGTGAGTCTATAGGCATTCCTCTATGCTGTACACCTGCTGGGCTCTAAATAGAGCCTCTGCAGGCCAGTTTTCTGCAAGTATTAGCGGTGGTAATCAGTCCCAAACTGCTGCCTGGTCAGCAGGGTTTTAGCAAACAGCGTGGCAGCAGCTACAGCCAACCTTCCTCGTTGACTGACAGGTCTTTAGCTTATTGTTGTTCTTTTATTGAGCTTAAATATCAGAGCATCTTCACAGAATGAAGCACAATAATTCTGTCAGTATTTAGCTCTAACCTGAGTTAGCAGGAAGAACAATAGAATATTATCCTCCACAGATTCTGAAATGGTAACAAGAAGAAAACAATGAACTATATTCAGAGAAAGTTGAGTGAACGGAACGCTAAAAAGCTGCAGCAACCTGGATACAGTTTGGTAAAACAGAAAAGAAGCACACAAAACATTTCCCCGCTCTTGATGTGTACTAGATGTCACATTAATGTGAGCTTTTGGTCAGAAAGACTTTAATGTGAGCTTTTGGTCAGGAATAAGTTGAACAAAGTGACATCTTGCACACATTAAGTGTGGAGAAATCTTTAGTTTCCTGAAGTTTTATTCTGAGAAAATGTTTGGTTTTAATGATCAGACCTCCTCTAGTTTTATGCAAACTGTACAGTTGGAGTTCTAGACCAATTTTATGTCAATTCCATGTAACATAAAGAAGATTCTACCAGATCCAGTAAAAAAGCTTTCTTTAATTTATACATTTTCTGAAACCTTAATTTGTTCTTAAACGGAACTGAGCTGAAACTCAGCATGTGGCGTGAGTGAGAAATTTAGGCTTCTTCTGACTGACTGTCCTGCTTCTCTTTAGGCAGTGGAAGAGTTGCTGGAATCCCTGGAGTTGGAGAAGAGCAGCTTCCACATGGGGCTGAGCAAGGTGAGTAAATCAGACGCAAGCTCATCTCTTTCTGACAGTTTGGTTTAAAAAGTAGAGTAAAAAAAACTCTCTTATGTAGAATTTATTTTTGGCAAACCTTCAGAGCTTTTGGTTCCACTCTACTGTTTTCGCCCTAAGTCCCTTTTATTGATGAGGTAACTGACCAGCAGGTACATTTCAGACGGCTTTATCTGTTCGGGCCTGTTAAACTCGAATCTGTTCCAAATTCAGATGCAGTAAACCGACTCTAGGCCGTCATTAAGGATGGATTATCCACACCACATCCATTGAACCTGCTTAGGACCCTTTTCTC